TATTGTAAGTAATTTCATTCCAGTAAATTTGAGATTTTAGATGAAATGGACAAATTTCTTGGACAAAGTTAATTTACTAAACCAACCCAGACAAAAGAGATAATCAAAATAGTCCTGTTAAAGAAATTAAACCTAAAAATATAAATACACCCCCAAAGAAAACCACAGATTCAAATAGTTGCACTGACAAATTCTTCCAAACATTTAGGAAAGAAATAATACCAATTTTATCCAAACTCTTCCAGAGAATATAAAAAGATAGCAGTCACTTATTGAGGCAAGACTAACTTTGATACTAAAGCAAAAGGAAAACATTAAAGGAAAGGAAAATTTAGGCCAGCCTCACAGAGGAACAAATGGTAAAAATATTAACAAATGAAATCAAATAATACATAACCAAGGTGTTCTCACCGCCAATTTGGCTTGCTCCTCAAATGCATAGGGAATAAATAGGTGTCAGAGGAACCAGCTAAAACATTTAAATAAGAACCAGAGTCTCATGGCATAATACCCAAAATGTCAAAGTTCCTATTGAAAGTCATTCACCATACCAAGAACCAGGAAGACCTCAAACTAAATTAAAAAGACAATGAACAGATTCCAACACCAAGATGACAGAGATCTTAGAATTATTGGACAGAATCTTTAAAGAAGACATCATAAAAATGCTTCCACAAACAATTAAAAAATCATCTGAAACAAATTAAAAAATATAAAATCTCAGCCAAGAAACAGAAAGTTTCCACACATACAAAGATAGAACATATAATGAGAAACCAAATTAAAATTTTGGAACTGAAAAATACAAGTACAAAATCATCTAAGTACAAAATTCAGTGGATGGCTCAACAACAGAATGAAGGGGGAGACAGGAATCAATGATGTACTAGGTAGAAAATAGAAATTACCCAGTTTGGGGACACTTGGGTGGCCCAGTCGGTTAGGCTTCCGACTTCATCTCAGGTCATGTTCTCAAGGTTTGTGAGTTCCATCCCCTCATTGGGCTCTGTGATGACAGCTCAGAGCCTGGAGCCTGCTTTGGATTCTGTGTCTCCCTCTCTCTCTGCCCCCACTCTGCTCACGCTCTCTCTCTGTCTCTCAAAAATGAATAAATGTAAAAAAAAAAATTTTTTTTTAAACCTGGAACCAGAAAAAGTTCTTGAAGTCAGCAAGAGAAAAACAAGATCTTTCCAGGGGGAAAACAATTCAAATGACAGTGGATTTCTCATCAGAAACCATGGAGCCCCAAAAGAAGTGGCAAGACTTGTGTTTTAAGTACTGAAAGAAAATCACACTGTCAACCCAGAATCCTATATTTAGTGAAAGAATCCTTTAAAAATAAAGGGGGAAATCAAGACATTCGAAGATGAAGAAAAATGAAGATAATTTTTCACTAGTATACCAACTCTAAAAGAATAGCTAAAGAAAATTATCTAAATAGAGAGGAATTGATAAAAGAAAGAATCTTGACATCAGGAAGGAAGAAAGAACATGATAAGCAAAAATATAGGTAAAACAGTAGATTTTCCTTTCCCTCTTGAATTTTCTAAATTATATTTGATGGTTGAAACAAAAATTCTAACACTATTTGATGTCGTTCTAAATGTATGTAGAGGAAATAAACAAACAATCACCATAAGATCCAGCAATTATACTCCTGGGCCTTTATCCCAAGGAAATGAAAACATATATTCATAAAAAAAAACTTGTACACAAATATTTCTAGCAGCTGTTCATAGTAGCCCCAAATGTTCATAGTAGCCCCAAACTGGAAACAACCCACATATCCTTCAATAGGTGAGTGGTTTAACAGGTGTGGTACATTCATGTTATGGAGTACTAGTCAGCAATAACAAGGAACAAACTATTGATATAAGCAACACTCTGGATGAATCTCCCAAGAACTATGCTGAGTGACAAAAGCCAATCCCAAAAGGGTACACAAGGCATGATTCCATTTATCTAACATACTTGAAATGATCAAATTATAGAAATTGAGAACAGACTGTTGTCAGCAGGGATTATTGAAGGGATGTGGGCAGGAGGGGAGTAGGTGTGACCATAAAAGGACACCATGAAGTATCTTTTGGTTGAAGGAAATATCCTGTATCTTGGTAGTATCGATATCCAGGTGTGATATTGCACTATAGTTTTGCCATAGGTTATTATTGAGGAAAACTGAGTTAAGAGTGCAAGGGATCTCTCTGTGTTACTTCTTACATCCCAATGACAATTATTTCAAAACCAAAAGTTCAATTAAAAAAGACACCAGTAGGAGAATGAAATGCCAAACCACAGAGTAGGAAAAATTATTTGTAATACATATAACTGATGAGAGATTAGAATCCAGAATGCATAGATAATTTCCATAAATAACTGAGAAAAAGAAAGACAACCCATTAAAAATTTTTTTTAAATGTTTATCTTCAAGACAGAGAGAAAGACAGAGTGTGAGCAGGGGAGGGGCAGAGAGAGAGGGAGACATAGAATTCAAAGCAGGCTCCAGGCTCTGAGGTATCAGCACACAGCCTGCTGCAGGGGTTGAACCCATGAACAATGAGATCATGACCTGAGCCAAAGTTGATGCTCAACCAACTGAGCCACCCAGGCTCCCCAAGACAACCCATTTTTTAAAAAATATAGGTTAAAATCTTGAATCACTTTTTAAAAGAAGATACTCAAATGACCAATACGTATACCAGAAAAACTCTGCTCAACTTTATTGGTCATCAGGGAAATGAAGATTAAACCCACAAAGAGATGCCACAACAAACTCATCAACATGGCTAAAATTCTAAAAAGAAACAAAACTGAAATCAAATGTTGATAAAGATATATATTATCTGGAATTCTCATGTACTGCTAGTAGGAAAATAAATCAGCATAATCATGTTGGAAAATCATTTGGCAATATCTACTACAGCTGAGCATATGTATACCCTATGAAGCAATTCTACTTTTTGATATGTATCCAACAGAAATGCATATATATGTACATTAAAAGACATGTACAAGAATGTTCCTAGTAGTATGATTCCTAATGGCCCTATACTATAAACCACTGAAATTCCCATCAACAGTAGAATGAATACAAAATTGGGCACACTCATACATAATTCATTCATACATTTATACATATTTATCCTCAATGCCTCTCTTTCCTTCCTATCTGTCATCCAGCCCTCATGGCTCACCTCCAAATTTCTACCTGGATTTGTTCACTTCTCTTCAAATCCTCTGATACTTCCTCAAATCCACCATCATTTCTCACCTCATTTACCAAAATAGCCTTTAACTAGTCTTCTTGCTCCCCTATGATTCATCATCTGTAAAGCAGTCAGAATGGTCTTATTAAAGTATAAATCAGATCACTTCATCTTCTTGTTTAAACCTTTCATTGGGTTCTCATTGGAGTTATGATTAAATCCAACTCTTCATCATGGTTTGAAAGGCAGCTGTGCTGGTTCTGCTATAGTCAAAGATGTTTACAGAGAAAGATCTTAAAATACATTACATGGTTTAAACAAATAAAGAGTTTGAAAGGAAGACACAAAAGTTGAAAGGAAGACAGTCCCAGGTTGGCAGGGCAGCTCTGCCAAACTCAGAGGTGCCACACAGAGTTCTATCTCTGACTCTTATGTGCTTGCCCATCACATCCGCCTCCCACCTAGCCAGAGAAGGGAAAGGAAAGGCAGAAGCCCAGAAGTTTCCCTTCCCAGAAGGGACTCAGCAATTCTACTTTTTGATATGTATCCAACAGAAATGCATATATATGTACATTAAAAGACATGTACGAGAATGTTATAGTAGTAGTATTCCTAATGGCCAGAAATTTCCCTTCCCACTTCTGCTTCCATCTTCTTTGTCCAGAACCTGGTCACATGGCACACCTAGCCGAAAGGAAGCCTGGGAAATGTAGTCTTTAGCTAACCTGACATGTGCCCACCATGACTCCATTATTGTGGAAGTAGAGAAGAATGAATATTGAGGACAACTCGTAGTCTCTGTTTCAGCCTGCAGCATGTCATCCCTCTCTACTTCTCCAGTCTCACCTCCTCCCTCTCTCTCTCTCTCTGGCTTTTGGCTCTCTAGCCACACTAGCCTTGCTCATTCCCTCCTTAGTCCTTAGGCCCTTGTATCTGTGCTGGCCTATATCTGAAATACTTTCCCCTAGATCTTTACATTAGTGGCTTCTTCTGATCATTTGTACCTCAACTCAAGCCTTGTACATCTTCTGAGAGGCATTTCCTGACCCTCCCCTCACAAGCAAAATAACCACCTCCTTTCCACTCTCATTCATGTTGTTTTATTTCTTACTTATCACTAGCTTAAATTCTCATTTACTCACCTGCTTATTATCTGTATCTCTCATTGGAATGTAAGCACCATGGGGACAGAAAGGTTGTCTGACTTATTCTCTGTTGGGTCGCCAGCACTTAAATGCTACTTTTGATAAAGCAAGCACTCAACAAACATTTGTTGAACAGATGAATTAGTTTAGCCCAAACCTCTTCATTTCCAAACTGGGAAAGCTGGGGCCTGGAGAAAGTAATTGTCTTGTCTGAGGTTCTGCAACTAGTTAGTAGACTCCCAGATGGGCACTTTTCTCGAACACCCTATTTCATCCAGGCTCTTCTTTGAAGTCTGTTTTCTCACCCTGCCTCTATCATTCCTCTGCACACCTGTAGCACTAGACTTTAACATCCACTGGGTTTTTATGCTATGCTTCTTTGTATTTTTTTATCTTTGTTCTGTCTTGTTTTCCCAACCAAGCTGCAGGCCTCTGGAAAAAACCAACCTTCTAACACACAGACAATAGGCCCTGCGTAGGTATGTGACAAAGAGACTGAAGTTACTTTATTCAGCCAAGTGAGACTCACAACTGTTACAACTTTCATGTCTTATTATTGAAGATAAAAGTTGGATATTGGAAGACTAGATTTTGGCGGGGGGTAATTCCTGTGTATCCGCAACTAAGCATACAGGCAAGATTGTCTTACCAGCAGGTGGAATCTTATGTGCTTCATCAAAATTATGCAGAAGAGCTGCTCTAGGTGCAATGGGTGGATTCTGAAAGGTAATCCTTGCTGTTGGTGGAATTAGTCCTCGTTCTATCATACTTAAAATTCCTGGAAAGGAAGGTTAGAAGAATATGGTTTTAATGCCAAGTGTTTCCACAACGTCTGAGCTCCATCAATTTCACAAGTGTAACTTACTCTATTCATCTTCTTATTTGTGAGAGTACATCTAGTGCCTTCATCCTCTGCATGGAAAAACAGCTACGGTACACATTCATTTAAGCCATTAACTCTAACCCAAGGAAAAAAATGGCATTTCCAATAATGCCAATATGAAATAAACTTGTATTATGATAATTTCATTTTAAGGTAGAAATATCATTTCAGGGCACACTAAAACTTCTTTATATGTAACATTTTTCAATTATTGATAATCTTGTTACTCTTTTTTTAAAATTCGGAAAAAAACAAGTACACGGTCATCATAACCATAGAGATGTTTTTTACTGAAAGAAAAAAAATCTATGTGCTTAAAACTATTTCGCTGTTGTGACAATGAGTCAGATTTTATAAAAGAAAAGTTATTTTCAGATATTACTCATGTCACCAGAAGATGTGATCACCCAAATAGATCAATTTAGTGTAACTGAGCAGCATGGTTAGTATTAATGCAACTAATTTACAATACTTAGAACTCCTACTATGTCGGCATGGCTGGTCCCAGGGCTTTTTAAGGACAGGAGACTGTTAACTAAGTAAACAAATGAATGAATCAATGAATAATTGAGCAAAGCCTTCTAGCAGGGACAATACTTTCATTAAGATGGATCTGTTGTATTGAAGCCAGAAACCCAGAAACCCAGGGAGTATGTGAAATAAACTTGTGACAGGGCTTCAGCTTCTTGTTGCTTTCGTGTAACAGGAAGGAAAGTAAAGGAACCGTAGGTCTCAAGGAAATCCTCGTCCGCAAGCTGTGTACCAAGCTGGACTAAGTTGGGAAGTTGGCACAGACCCTAAGAAGAACAAGTATTGTTTCCATTTGCCTTAGTCCCTCAATGACCATGCTATGCTGTTATTAAGTCTAGTGTTACAGGAATCAGAGGAATGATCGCCGAGGGGTTGTGGAGCAGAAGACTTCCCTCATAAACCAATGAATCCAAAGAGAACTCTTTAGTTTGCTTACTGCAGAGTCATTTTGGGGGAGAGTTGTGTATTAAAAATGAATATTCCTGGGCCCTCTCCTGGGTCTGCCCAAACCAGGGCCTGGGAATCTGTATTATTGAAGACTCTAGGACATACTTAATGTGTCCTGAAGTTTGAGATCCAGTAGAATTGGGGCCCAGTAATCCACATTTTCAGTAAGCATGCCAGGTCAATCTTTTGTACTTTAAAAATTTAAGAAGTGCTAATCCAGAGTACAACTCTTTAAGCCCCTTTTGAAATTAGGACTTCAGGTTTTAATTTTTATAGCACTGGATTTAACCACTTTAAAATGTTAAGACTAATTCTGTGTCCTCAACGAATATTTTCCACCTTTAAATACCAAATCCCGTTTCCAAGAACTATGCCTGACTTGCAGATGTGAAAAACAGAGCTCCTTCTAATTCAATATATTTTCATTACCAAACTCAGAGGGAAACCCAGCGAATGTGATTATAACCTTTGCTTTAGTACTGGTTGGAGCGACTCACTTAATCTTAGATAAACACATGTGTGTACATTTAGCATTGGAAGGAAGAAGTTAAGACTTTGGAATAAGCAAAAGAGACTGGGTATTTTTTTATCCTAATGCTGGAACCTCTGGAGATTATCTGGCCCTATAATCACATTTGTTTTCAATTGTCTATTTTCTAGAGATTAAGGGTAATTTATGGAAAACTGAAAGCAATGCATATATTTCTTGTTTATACACATGCAAATAACCCCCCCCCAAAGTCAGTTGTGTGTCTATTTGCAAATTTATTTCAGTATGCTTGATTTGTAAAGATATCTGTTGTTTGGATTCTCCTTTGAACCAGTTGTAACATCTTACTGATGCTCTCATTTAATCGATGAGGTGAATAAAACCTTGGATGTTTTCATTTTATAGTTGTATAAGAGTCATGGTTTTACTTTAAAATATATATCCTTTGGGGTGCCTGGGTGGCTCAGTCAGTTAAGCATCTGACTTTGGCTCAGGTCATGATCTCATGGCTTGTGGGTTAGAGCCCCACATCGGGCTCTGTGCTGACAGCTCAGAGCCTGGAGCCTGCTTTGGATTCTGTGTCTCCCTCTCTCTCTCTGCCTCTCCCCTGCTCATACTCTGTCTCTGTCTCTCTCAAAAAATAAATAAACATTAAAAAAAAAAAATATATATATATATATATATATATATATATATATATATATATATATCCCTAATAATTTTGGAGACTTCAGCAAGATGAGCAAAAGATTCACCTGAAATTGCCAGACATGGTGCACCTCACAGGAACCAACGCCAGGCATGTATTTTCTTAGCACCTGTGGGTGAATTCAAAGTGGCAATAGAACCTTACTGAGTGCTTTTCTAATTTTAGTATTACTCCCTACAAAAATTTTTTGTTTTGTTTATCTCTTAGGTTCATTTATGGCTAAGTAATTCCTTATTGGTAGCTCTAGAGACTGAGAATTTGGTGATCTCCATAAATGGATTAATGTCTTATGGAGATCTAATTCCCCACTGAGTGAGAGACAATAGAGAATACAGTTTGTTAGTCTTCTGTTTGTCCACTTGTGTGTTTTGAGCTCAGACCAACTAGGAATGTCATGCCTACAGAGAAGGAGAATAACTGTTTGGTATCTGGACCAGCAAGCGTGTTTCTGTGTTTATTTTTCATCTGTAGCTGAAATTATAGCATTGAAGCTATAAGTCCTGTCTGTATCTGTATGTTTGTGTTTACGTAATTCAGGAAAGTCTTTATCTCTCATTGTGAATGTAGACATTTTTCCTGTCTCCAGATGGTATTAATAAATTAGACTGTAATGTCTCAAATTAAAGGAGCTCTGTTCAGATCGACTTACAGAGAGAAGTAAGTGCATATGTAAACTGAATATTCTTAAAATTTCTAGAAAATAGGGAAATCAAACCTCTAATACTTTAAATGTGCTCCCCCTCATCTCTCAAATTCAGAAACTCTCATTGAGTCTCCTTACTTTTCATGGCAAGATAGTTATTTGCATAATTTCAGTAAAAATCTGTTCTCCTTTTACTAAGATATCATTGGAAAAATCACTTATGCAACCAAGACTTTGCCTGAAATTTCATATTTAAGAATGATACTTATTAATCATGAATGACAAGTAACTTTTAAAGAACTGAAGTTGACCGTATGGAGCCAGTGCTTCCAAAGCCTTCCAAAAAGACTGGCCTGGTACATGGCTTATAGGTTTTCCATCCTTACAGGTGGTAGAAGGTCATGTCCTGGCAGGCCCAAGAACTTTAGGATATTGGAGCACCTCTAGAAGAGAGGAATTTACCCACATTTACAAATCCTGTAGCTGAAATGTGGCAGGCAGAGTTTCTTGGGCTTGATTTCCTAGCCTTAAGATAGCACATAATAGAGTATTTAAAAAGATTAATCTGAGATTCCTTATGAAAACTTTCAGCAGAGCAAACCTAAGATGGCCTAGATGGAGAATTAATATTCTTGTTGCACATGTATAAATAATCAGGACAAACCTAATGAGACCAGACTTATTTTTTGAATGTTTTGTTGAGATCATTAAAAAAAAATTTTTTTTAACATTTATTATTGAGAGACAGAGAGAGCCAGAGCATGAGCAGGGGAGGGGCAGAGAGAGGAGGAGACACAAAATCCAAAGTAGGCTCCAGGCTCTGAGCTGTCTGCACAGAGCCCGATGTGGGGCTCGAACTCACAAACTGCGAGATCATGACTTGAGCTGAAGTTGGACGCTTAACTGACTGAGCCACCCAGGCTCCCCTTGTTGAGATCATTTTGATCAAAATGCTAGAAGACTGGGGCGCCTGGGTGGCCTAGTTGGTTAAGCATCAGACTCTTGACTTCAGTTCAGGTCATGGTCTTATGGTTTGTGAGATTGAGCCCTGCTTCAGTCTCTACCCTGAAAGCGTGGAGCCTGCTTGGGATTCTCTCTCTCCCTTTCTCTTTGCCCTCTGCCACTCTTGTTCTCTCTCTCTCTCTCTCTCTCTCTCTCTCTCTCAAAATAAACTTTAAAAAAAAATGGTGGAAGACTATAGGAATATTTTTGTTTAAGTTTCGGAATAAGCAAAAGAGATTACTGGATATCTTTCGAATGGAATGCTGTAGCCTCTAGGGGTTATCTGGACCTAATCTTTGACTGAGCTATTTCATAACTCAGTAGAGATTAAGGTTAATTTGTAAAAACAAAACAAAACAAAGCTAGTACTAATGCAAATGCAAATAATTCTTATCTATAAACTTGAAAATAAATTGTCTCTGGTGAAGAGATGCTCTTCCTTCCCATAGAAAAGTCAATTTTGCATCTATTTGCAAATTTATTTTAATATTTCTGATCTACAAATGTGTGTTCTTTGGATTCTCTTTAAATCAGTGTGATATCCTACAGATCTCTCTTTTAATCAAAGAGTTAAATAAATAAAATCTTTGACATGTGTTCATTTTAAATTTGTATGAGATCCATGATTTTACCTATTTTGGGAAATTGTCCCTTAACACCATTGCCTCATTAAACTTTCATAACACTCTTACTTTCTTATTGAATGGATTAGAGATTAGAAGTTCATTCATTGAACCAGTATTTGTTAAGTGCCTATTAGCTGTCGGGGCTGCGGATGCAGTGGTGAGCCAGAGAGAACTTATGGAGCTTCTAGGAAGGATGAAGACATTAAATAAATTCACAAATAAATACATAATTACAAATCGTGGTCATCTATGAAGGAAAAGGCAGATGCTTAAGGAAGTGACTTTTCGAGGCAGAGATACAGGCACTTGAGAAGGCCCGTGTGAAAATGTGCTTGGCCTGATGAGGACCAGAAGGAAGGCCCATGTGATGGGAGCATAGAGAAAGTCCAGGTCAGGCCTGCCCTATTTGTAGAGTTTGGAGTCGATTCTCAGACCAGAGAGCAACTTGCTTGAGGTCACACACAGCCTGAAAGTTTGGTTTGTGTACTGTGAGTCTTATAGTCTTCTTTTTTAAAATTTTTTAATGTTTATTTATTTTTGAGAGAGAGAAAGAGACAGAGCAAGTGGGGGAGGGGCAGGGAGAGGGAGACACAGAATCCAAAGCAGGCTCCAGGCTCTGAGCTGTCAGCACAGAGCCCGACGCGGGGCTCGAACTCATAAACCAAGAGATCAAGTCGGACTCTTGATTTCTTGAGCTGAAATTGGACTCTTAACCAACTGAGCCACCCAGGCACCCCAAGACTTAATTCTTAACCATAAAAAAAAAAACACAAACAAACTACTTTATTTCTTTTTTGGATATAGCAAGAGAGTTCAAGAAGAAGTTGGGGAGTCCATCCTGCATTTTCCGAGACAACTCTCTCTTCTGGATGTTGTTAATCTTTCACCTCATGCTGGACATGTGCGGATCTGAGGTGAAGCTTAAATGGCAGGTAAGGACATTGGGAATATGTACAAAACTAGACACTGTGTCTACATTTTCATGGCTTGTGCTTTCCTGACACTTATGTTACCTTGCACAGTACCATACATATGGTAAGCACTCAATAAATATATGTTGATTAATTGGTTGATTAATTACAAATATTATGGAAAGCCAGATGTTCTCTGGTAGATAACTGAGGGATGAAAATGTGTTTTTTTTCCGGACCAAGTTGCCATGGTTCTAGATTCACTTTTGTCTTGCAGCAATTTTTCATTATGTCTATTGCTAAAGTGGACATTGATTCATTGGTTTATTGATTTATCGATTCACTCATTCACTATTTCAGTCATCCTAATTTGATCAAGGAAGAACATAATATGGTACTAAAGCAAGAACTCTGCTGGAGTTATTCTGTATTTATAGGTAGTAAATATGTAAACTAAGTAAAATCATGTATCATAAAGATTGCTGAACAATAATGGTTTATAACTAGAAAAGTAACAGTTACGGTTGTGAGCTTCACACATTAATGGACTTATAATGATGCTGGGTTCTCTTGAGTTCTGCTGTTCCTCCACCAACAGGTCAGTAGACGAGCAGACAAGACAGAGAACTTCAAAACTCCAAGGACCAAGAGAACTCTCGGGAACCAACTTTAGTCCAAAATATTCCAGACAACAGATAGAAAGTGATACAGGAATAATTAAAGACCATATCACTTGGTTTTATTTGAGATACAAAAGGGGATCCACTTAGGCATTTTTAATACTTCAGCTAATAAAATTAAGTAGCAGAGAGAAGTAGAGAGGATGATATTTACAACACTCAGTCCTTATTCATTCACTTACTCTTTCATTTACTTATTCGTTCAACCAACAGGTAGGGTCTCGAAAATGCTAGAAATGGTTCTAGACACTGGGGATCCTGAGATGAAGATGATGTGACCTTTTGTTTAAAAACTAGAAATCTGTTCCATGTAGGGCTCTGTGCTGGGTGTGGAGCCTGATTAAGATTCTCTCTCTCCCTCTCCCTCTGCCCCTCTCCAACTCCATGTGCGTGCGTGTGCTATCCCTCAAAAAAAAATTTTTTTCTAAAAACCAGAAATCCACTGGATTCACGAACACTAGAATTTAGACTAAGACATGCATGGCTGAAATGCCAATTACATTAATTCTGGCTTCATATTTTTGCATAATAGTATATTGAAATAAAAATTTTTAAATGCTACCAGAATGGCATCAGAAACTATCTGCTCAGAAGACTGAAAAATTCTAATAATACCATATAAACACAATAATAATTTTAACACACACTAACACCAACATCTGAATCAATATGAAATTCATAGAATGATGGGTTTTTGAGGTGAAAGAGACTCCAGTTATTGTTTAGCCCAACCTTCTGATTTATGGAGGAGGAAACTCAGGCCAGAGTAAGGACCTGACTTGTCTAAGGACACCTAGAAGAAATAATGGCTGAGCCCAAATTCAAACTCAGGTCCCCCCATCCCACCTCAATGCTCTTTCCCGTACATTCCTAAGCACATAAAATGGTCATTGAATCACTAACCTTTCCTGGCTTCCGTTTGTAAGACTGGTATGGGGGTGAAATAGGGATTTCTGTGATGAGAAGCTGGGAGAACGGTGAGGTTGGATACGGTAGACCCTTCTATTAACTTCTGAACCTTCACCTAGATGATCAAAAAATTTGTTTTCAGCAGGCATTTTTGCTTTCAAAATGAACACAGTTTTCTTCTTGTAAACAATAAATAAGATTATGAATAGTTTCATTAAGTTTTAATAAAGTAGCAATAGCAGCTCCAATTTTATTGCCCATGAGTACCCTGTGCTACTGTCTACTGTCAGGAGTTTGTGTAATTTAAAATAGTTAATTAAATCCAATTAACATGTTGTGATTTCCACTATGCAAAGTCACTAGAGTAGTTAATAAAGGAACTATTAAGATTTTGTTCAGTTTTAATGACTACGATATAAAAGTACTAAATCTTGACAGAAGAGGTTTTGAATACAGCAAAGTTTTGTACAGGCAAAATCCTCAGGAAATACATATTAGAGTTTTGAGAGTAAAAAAACAAACAAACAAAAAAAAAACAACAAAAAAAATGAGCAAACTGGGAGAATTGAAAGATAAATGTATCAGTCAACATTAACAGGTTAAAAATGAACTTTGAGTGGATTCTTGAACATTTCAGAGAGAATTAAAGACTTGATGTCTAGATCAGTTATAGTAGATGATTACCTTTTCTAAAGTCATTAAATGCTTTTATTATAGTCATGAAATATGAATTCTTTCTGTTAAATGGTTTCTAGCTTTTAAAGACTATATGTATTCATATAAATCACATTTAATGGTATAGCTCAAGTATACTATTTTTACCTTTATTGTAAGACATTATGAATTACCTGGGTGCTCTCAGCAGGGAAGATGCAACTGTTTGGTATTTATAGACTGATTTAAATTTTCCAAACATTAATTAATTTGCATAGCTTCTAGAGGAACTAGGTAACAATTTGCTATTTGACTCATAAAGAACCAAGACAGAAAGGTTAGTAGATTTGTTTAAGGTTACACAGTATACTAGAAATACACAGATTATTCAAGTTTAAGATTCATCTGATTTTACATTAGTGAAATTTGCCATTGGACTCAGTTGTACCATACCTTGTTTTGCTCATCAAGGTCAAGGAAAACAAAAGGGAAATTTCATGAAGATTGGAGGTTGGGGGGAGAAAATCACTTTCCAAAATAAATATCTATTGGCTGAAAAATGTCTGTGTGAACAAAGGTGTTAGGCTCCCACTGCCAGGATGTGGAGCTTAAGGGAAACTGTGAGCAGCTACCAGACTGTGAACACCAAATGTTTGGTAAGCAGAGTTTAAAATGACTATGATTAGGGTTTAAAATTTTTTTTAGTGCTTATTTATTTATTTGTTCGTTTGTTTGTTTAGAGAGGGAAAGTGGGGAAGGGGCAGAGAGAGAAGAAGAGAGAGCATTGCAAGTAGGCTTGAAAGCCTGATGTGGGGCTTGAACTCCCGAACTGTAATATCATGACCTGAGCCAAAATCAAGAGTCTGAGGCTTAACTGACTGAGCCACCCAGGCACCCCTATAAGTAGGGTTGTTTGGTTTTTTTTTTTTTTCAACGTTTTATTTATTTTTGGGACAGAGAGAGACGGAGCATGAACGGGGGAGGGGCAGAGAGAGAGGGAGGCACAGAATCGGAAACAGGCTCCAGGCTCTGAGCCATCAGCCCAGAGCCCGACGCGGGGCTCGAACTCACGGACCGCGAGATCGTGACCTGGCTGAAGTCGGACGCCTAACCGACTGCGCCACCCAGGCGCCCCTGGTTTTTTTTTTTTTTAACAGGAAAAGAATAGGCTGTCAGGGCAATCTTCCTTCCAGGTGAGTTGGAGGAGGAAAGGAGAGTGCCACGGGCGTTGCCTCAATGACAGTGAGGGCTCATGTGCACGTGGTATTCTTCTGGAGCTTCCATCTTGCCCATCCACCTTGTTCTCGTTCTCATCCTCAGCTCTCCTTGACCCACCACACCTCCAGACATGAGTAGCCTCCAGGATTTCCTAATCAGGGAGGCTGAGCTAATCACCCAAAGTACGGTACCCCAGACAAGGCCTGTGTATAGCTGATTTTCAGTAGCAGAGATGGAAGGGTCTCCACTTGTCTGATTGATATCAGGGTCATGGAGGCAAAGGTAAATTGGAGGAAGAAAGAAAGATTCCACTTAAATAAAATTGTCAAGCATTGTGAAGATGTAAAATACAGGTTTGGCAGTTTCAGAGCATAGAGCATCACTTATCTGGATTTTCTGAAAGCCTTTGACAAAGCACACCTGACAACCTGCTCTTGAAAGCCAAAGTCACAGGATCCGACATAAAAACACAAAGGGTGGAAGGCAGATGATATTCAGATTCTGCCAGGCAGTCAGCACATTCATAATGCTTTCTTCAATGGTTTCAATTGCATAGATCTCAACGATGTAAAAGCCAGACCCAAGGGTTGTGTGTGTGTGTGTGTATGTGTGTGTGTGTGTGTAGGGGCATGGAGAAGAAGGTTACACTGTAGGTTGACATCCTTTCAAGATTACAGAAATAAATCCCAGGAACAGTGTCGCTGGGTGCGGAACATAAGCCCACTCTATGGCCACATTCCCATGGTAAGGATAACCACTTTGCATTAGCTTGCTTGGAGGCAGAAGGCATGTAATGACCTTCAGCATTTACTGAGCACTTACTACCTAACACTAATTTTAATACGATCAGCATTAAGTTTCACCAGGAATGGAAAAGCTAAGGGCATTGGGAGTGCAGAAGAGGGAGTAATTAACTCTGCCTGCTGGCACTGCAGAAGGTTTTGGAACACCAACCCGAGCTGTATATTAGAATCACTCAGGGAGCTTTTCAGAAATACTGCTTCCTAGGGGCTCCTGGATGGCTCAGCTGGTTAAGTGTCTGACTCTTGGTTCTGGTTCAGGTCATGATCTCTCATTTGTGGATTCGAGCCCCATATCAGGCTTTCTGCTGTCAGTGCGGAGCCTGCTTCAGATCCTCTATCCCCTTCGCTTTCTGCCCCTCCCTCCTCTCCCTCTCTCTCTCAAAAATAAATAAACATTAAAAATTTTTTTAATTAAAAGAAAGAGAGAAATCCTGCTGCCTGGGCCCCAACTCTGGGCAAATAAATCCAAGTAGCTGGACTGGAGCCTCGGCCTTGGTATTTTTTATCAAGCCCCCCAGGTGATTCTGATGTGCAGTCAAGGCTGTGATATTTAAATTGTGTCTTAAGGGGCGCCTGGGTGGCGCAGTCGGTTAAGCGTCCGACTTCAGCCAGGTCACGATCTCGCGGTCCGTGAGTTCGAGCCCCGCGCCGGGCTCTGGGCTGATGGCTCGGAGCCTGGAGCCTGTTTCCGATTCTGTGTCTCCCTCTCTCTCTGCCCCTCCCCCGTTCATGCTCTGTCTCTCTCTGTCCCAAAAAATAAATAAACGTTGAAAAAAAAAATTTAAAAAAAAATTGTGTCTTAAGAGAAGCATTGAATTATATCACGTGGAGAAGAGGCCGCAATTATAGGGGGAAAGAATGGTGGTGACAAAGTAGAGTCGCATACAGACATATGAAGATTTCACGGAAGGCGAGGAGCTCAGTGCGGCTGGAGTATGGGGTGTGTGCCAGGAGGGTAGGGTGGGGGACGAGCATGCAATGGTGGGTTGAGATTAATGCACATGAAAGAAACCAGCTTCGTGAATGTGCTGATTGCCTAACAGAAGTCAAATTTCCTCTGCTTCTGGCTTCTCCTTTATATCATGCTTTACATTTTATTTTTTTTCAAGTTTTTTTTTTTTCCAACGTTTATTTATTTTTGGGACAGAGAGAGACAGAGCATGAACGGGGGAGGGGCAGAGAGAGAGGGGGACACAGAATCGGAAACAGGCTCCAGGCTCTGAGCCATCAGCCCAGAGCCTGATGCGGGGCTCGAACTCACAGACCGCGAGATCGCGACCTGGCTGAAGTCGGACGCTTAACCGACTGCGCCACCCAGGCGCCCCCACACTTTACATTTTAGGCTGGAAATGGTATGGACTATCCTATATATAGAACAATGTTCCCTATATCTGGTACTTCATTGCTATTTCCCAAACTCTGTCGTTTTATGCCTAAACCTGCTGTAATAGCTTTTTCAAAATTTAAAAGATATGGAAAAGCTTAAAAAAAGAAAATAGCAATCATATTCCTGCCAGCCAGAATTAATCATTGTTAATATCTTGGTATATTTGCTTCTAGTGTTTTCAAATAGAAAAACCATTCTATTTTATTATTCTGGTAAAAATGATATATGCTCATCATAAAGATTCCAATTAATGTAGAAAAACACAAAGATGAAAGTTTAAGAAACCATGCCAAATATCGTTAGGTGATCCATTATCCCTGACATCTTTGGAATGATTAATATATCATCTTATAAAAATAGGATTTATATTACATTATTAAACTTAATTTTTGACATGAATTTAATAGGAGGGGGAAGGCTGAATTAAACCCAACAAATTATTAAACCTCAAATCAATATTTCTTTACCACAAGATTCCTGTGAGTTGAAAAAGATTCCTCTGCACAGAGGTAGCATAGACAATGAGTAGCATAGACAATATGTAAACAAATGGGTTGGGCTGTATTCTTATGAAACTTTATGTACAAAAATAGGTGGTCAGCTCTCAGGCAGTAACTTGTAGATACCCACCCTGTAGTTAAATAAAGGTGATTATGAAAAACCTTTAGATTTTTAAAAATCATGTTTTTAAAAAATGTTTATTTATTTTGAGAGGGAGAAAAAGAGACGGAGGGGCAGAGAGAGAGGGAGAGAGACAATCCCAAGCAGTCTCTGTGCTGTCAGTGCAGAGCCTGACTCGGGGCTTGATCTCATGAACCATGAGATCACGACCTGAGCCGAAATCAAGAGTCGGATACCTAACCGACTGAGCCACCCCAGCGCCCCTGAAGTCGTGTTTGAAATTTGAATAACATATCCCATCTTCAAAAGATGAGAGCATTAGAACTATCTTGCTACTGGCATCCCCTCTCCCTCACCTTCCAATGTTTTATTATTATTTTTACATTGCCCAGATTTATAATACCCACATTCTGTTTTGAAACCACAATTGCTGGGATGGTTTAGCATCCACTCTACACATAAATGGATCCAGCGCCACCAACGGTCCTTTTGTTATGGCTTCTCTATGCTTGAGTTACTTACTTTGATTGGTTGTTTAATCGCCTGCCTTTGGTTATCAAGCAGTTCTAACAAGTGTTCATGGGTCGTTATACTTGAATTACATCTGGGGTCATCCTTTTTTTTTTTTTTTTCTCAAAACTTTGCAGACACTGACACATTGTCTTCTACCATGAATATTGTGAAATCTGATGCCGGCTTGATTCATCCTTCACCCCTTGTCAGTGATTTCTCTTTCTGCCTGCGTGTCTGAAACATTCTGTGTTTTTGAAGTTCAGGCGCTTAACTAGAAAACCTTTATTCCGTAACACTCGAAATCAAATTTTCCTGGGATTGAGTGCTTTCTTTCCACCTGTAGATTTTGTTCTTTCTTCATCTCTGGAAAATTTCCTTCCATCATATCATTGGCTATGTGTTCTCTTTTGCTGGGTTCTCTCTCAGAGATACCAAGTGTCATTAAGCGTTGGCTCATCTTTACCTTTCATGTTGTGGTTCCTAATGATTCATTTCTCTCCTGGTTCATTTAAAAAAATTTTTTTTTCAACGTTTATTTATTTTTGGGACAGAGAGAGACAGAGCATGAACGGGGGAGGGGCAGAGAGAGAGGCAGACACAGAATCGGAAACAGGCTCCAGGCTCTGAGCCATCAGCCCAGAGCCTGACGCGGGGCTCAAACTCACGGACCGCGAGATCATGACCTGGCTGAAGTCGGAGCTTAACTGACTGCGCCACCCAGGCGCCCCTCTCCTGGTTCATTTTAGAATAGAACACCCTGATTTTAGCTGAGCATATGGCTATCCAGTCGCAGACTACATTTTCCAGTGTGGCTAAGTGTGGACATGTGACCAAAATCAGACCAGTAAGACGTAGGCAGCGGTGGTAAGTGTAACCTCTGGGCCATCTCCTTAGAATGCCTACCCTGGACTATCTTTATCATTCCTATGGGCTGAAAGTATAGAGAGGAGCCAGCTTCAACCACTGGAACGAGAGTGTCTGTAACCACAGGAACGAGATGATACAGCCTCCAGAGAGAAGGAAGCAGAGTCATCCTGTGAGCCTTAGACTTTTCATGTGTGGACTGTTTTGTGAACAAGAAATAAATTGATCTATTTATGGCATTATATTTTCGGATTTCTTTGTTACAGCAGCTTAGCCTGTAACGAACTACTATGCGTATCTATTAGCTTCTAATTAATGTCCTTTGTCTTTTTCCGTTGCGTTTGCTGTGCTTACAGTCTTTTCTCCGCGCCCATATTTCAGTATTCAGCAGTGTGTGTTCTGTTCTTCCTATTTATAGTTTATTTATTAGTTCCATAAAGTATTTTGGTATTCAATTTGTTTCCTTATGTCTGCAACCTCCCTTTTTATCTCATTCTGCTATTTTATCATCTCATGGTTGAGTTCTAGTTTTACTTAATTTATGTTCCTAGCAAGCTGTGCTATCATATGGAGAAATTGTGAGAAAATTCCTTCTGTTCCTTGAGTTATATTTTTTTCCAGGTTAGGCTTTGTCTTTTGCAGCCCATAGTTCTCCCTCCCCCCTTCCTCTTCCTCTCTTTTTGTTAGCTGTGGGTGAAATACTGGCATTTATGTAATAAATCAGCATAGTGGCTGTATTGTTTCTTTCCCCCTTGTATATTCTTGGGCAGCTCTGCCCAGACAATCTGCTTGCTCTGATGTAGCATCTCGTCCCCCGTAGTCTGCTACCAGTGTGTTTTCCTTCCCATGTGAGAAGCAGGTACTCTGGGTCTCCTGTACCTTTCTGTTAGCTGAGGGCCTGGGTCAGGGAAGCCTCCATTTTAGGATATATACAGTCTCTGTTAAAATATGTAGGCTCTCTCCCCTCTCCTGAGGTTTTGATGAACATCCTATATCAGGGTTTGCTCTACTTAGTTGAGGATGAATCCCTCCCTCCCTCCCTCTAGCCCCAGGGGTTTTGGATCATTTCAGTAGAAGCCTGAAGACTTCACTTCTCTCTGGAAGAATCAGACATTGTTTGCTCTCCAATTTCACCTCTTTCTTCCACGTCCCCTTGTCAAAAGAGAAAAAAAGGTAAGGATGCTTGCTTGCTTGTCTTCTCTCCAGATTTTGTACTGTTTCTGAGAATCTCAATATTTTGATAATTTACCAGTGGTATTTCGTTTCTGAGGGGCAGGAAGGGGGTAGAATTGGAGCTGTGTTGTACCTCTCTACTCTGCTCCAGAATCTTCTGCTGGGTGAATTTAAACCTACACAGCCACATTATACAATCCTGCATGACCATATTCTGCAGTCCTGCCTCAGCCCTCCTCCCCATATTATGGACGGCACACTAAAGATCAGGAAGGGAAAGTGGCTAGGACACACATCTCATCTGCCCAATAGAGGCAGAGCGAAAAGGGCACATCCCTGCTTCATGGCCCAGGGCTTTTTTACTCTATTTTCTTGCTTTCTGAGTTCTCGAACCTTTCAAGCCAAACACAGCTCAGGTCAGTAGCTCTACTCCCGTCCTCATGGTAAAGCCCTATCACTCTGTTTTTCATTCCTTTCTCAGCATCATTTAACATAGGGACAGTCCGGGCCTCACTTTCTGTCAGAAAAACTCTCCAGCATTCTTGGAGCTAGAAGAACTCCCTGGAAAGGTATCTATAGCAGAAAAGCAAAAACCACGGGCTTGGAGCACTGGATTTCAGTCCTACCTCTGTCATTTAATCAGCAGTGTGCTGGGGTAAGTCATTTAACTTCTTTGAGTCTCCTTTTTATCTTCTGGAAAAGAGGGATATTATTAGCTACAGGGCAGCTGAATTTTATGTAAGGGAATTTTTCCTGAAAGCATGTCAAATCTCAACTCACATAATTTGAGACAGCCAGACAGCGAATGGCCGGAATGGCAAAGACTGTTGTTTGGCCTTCAACGTGTGACACAGGCAGAAATTACATTTCTCAGCCTCCCTTGCAGCTTGATTTATCTTTGGGACAAGATTCTGGCCAGTGCTATAGGAACTGCATTGATTCTTCTGGTTGGGATAGAGACATGATGGCAGGAGCCCAGCAGCCACCTTAGCCATCTTAGATCACAAGAAAGTGCAGAGCTGCCATATAGCCATTAATTGTGTGCGGTGAAAAAAAATTATTGCTGTGTTTAATCACTGTTATTTGTTACATTTGCTGAGTTTACATCGTAATGGTACAGGGTGTTTTTTATTTATTCAGATGGTGTCTCTCTGTGGAGACTTCAGCATAAATATATCTCAAATTCAATGAGCCTGCACCAGCTTTGGAAAAAATGAAAGTTTGTTTCTTTTTTTTTTTTTTTTTTTTTTTTTTACATTTGGGGGATTGAAATCATCTCAAACTTTGTGTATAAAGCAATAATGCAATATTATCATTTTATATCATGGAATTGCAAATTTATATAATCCAATTTTGCATAAAATTCAGCATCACTGATCTTCCATTAGGCCACTGTGAGGACTTATTATGTAGAGATGCACACCATAACTTTTTCTCATCTCAGGAATTGTTGAACATTCTTTTGGAATGTAACATTCATTTTTTTTAGAGAGAGTGTGTGCACATGTATAAGCATGTGTGGCATACAAAAGTGGGAAGGGGCAGAGAGAATCTTAAGCAGACTGTATGCCCAGCGTGGAGGCCATGGAACCAGATGAGGGGCTTGATCTCACGACCATGAGAACATAACCTGAGCCGAAATCAAGAGTGGGATGCTGAACTGACTAAGCCACACAGGCACCCCCTAACATTCATTTTTGAAAAGGCACAAATCATAAGGTCATCAGTTGATACATTTTAACAAAGCAGACACTGTGGGAAACCAGCATCCAGAATAAGTAGAGCATTGCAAGCACCCCTAAGACCTCTCTCATGCTCCTTGTCAGTCACTACCACTACCCGAAGGTAACCACTATTCTGAATTCCACTCCCAGCTATTCTTATTCTGTTTTTGAATTTACATAAATGGATTATTACAGTATTAAATAAGCATCAACACATCAGAGAGCAAGGTACCAGAATTCAGAGTCTCCATAACACATCATTTATAATGTTCGCAATAATAAAAGGTTACTATGTTTACAAAGAAATGGATTTGAAAATGCTCATATAGGAGAAACAGTTGTCAATATAAACAGATCTTGGAGGTGATGCTTTATGATATAGATTGTGGTGATGGTTTCACAGGTGTATGTGTAATCTCCAAACTCATCAAGTTGCATACATTAAATATGTACAGCTTTTGTATATTGGTCATACTTTAATAGTTCTAAAAAAAGAAACAGCTGTCAAGATAATTCAGAGGGTAGAATTAGCAAATAAAAACATTAAAGCTACTATTGTACATACTTTAAGGACCTTCAGGGAAATATGATCGTAATTAATTAACAGATGGAAAATCTTGGTAGAGAAATGAAAACTATAGAAAAAGAAACAAATGGAAATTCTAGGACTAAAGAGTGTAATACCTGAAATGAAAAGTTTATTGGATATGGTAGTCAACTTGAAGAAAAATCAACAGATACTATCTAACCTGAAGAACAGAAAGAAAAAATTATTTTAAAAAGAACAGATCTTCAGAAACCTATGGGCAATATCATGTTGTAAAATTTGTATTTGATCGAAGTCCTAGAAAGAGAGGAGAGAGAGAAATGTAGAGGAAAATACTTAAAGAAATAGTGGCCAAAATGTCTCCCAGTTTTCTGGACAACTTAAACTTACAGATCCTAGGAGCGCAAGCAGGATAAACACAATCAACCCCCCTGGAAGCTAAAGACAAAGAGAAAAACTTGAAAGCATCCAGGAAAAAAAAAAAAGAAGACCCATTATATAGGGGGAATCAACGATCCAAATGATGGCTGACTTATTAGAAACGATGAAACTTTAAAGCATTGAAAAAAAAAAACACAGAAAAACTCTGGCAACCCAAAATTTGACATAAAGGCAATATAAATACTTTTTTTGGCAAAAGAAAACAATGCGTCACCAGCAGGCATGTGTTACATTGCCTTCAGCAGGCAAGAAATGCTTACGGGAAGATTTTTTAGGCTGACAGAAAATGACACAAGATGGAAAGTTAGATGTCTATGGTAAATATAAAATACTATGTGTTTTTCTTCTCTTAGTTTCTCTGAAAGGCAATTGGCTATTTAAGGCAAAAAATTATAACATACTGTGCAGTTTAAAATATATGTAAATCACATGACAACAATAACACAAGGAGGTGGGTAAATGAAATTCTATGGTTGTAAGTTCCTCACATTGTATGTGAGCTGGTGCAATATTAACTCTGAGGAAACTATAATAAGTTAAGGATGCATATTGTAATTCCTAGAGCAACCACTAAAAATAACACAGATGTATGGTTCAAAAGTCAATAAAACAGAATATTAAAAAAATTTAAATTATATAATCCTAAGTCAGGCAGACAACAAAGGAACAAAAAAGAGATGGTAAAAATAAAAGACAAGTAGAAAAATAGTTTTTCTACATCAAACCATGTCAATAATTGCATTAAATGAAAATGGACTAAACACTCTAATTAAAAAGCAGAGATTATCAGACTGAATTTTAACCCAAGATAAAACGATATGCTATCAATAAGAAGTGAATTTTATTTTATTTTATTTTATTTATTTTTTTTTTTAATTTTTTTTTTAACGTTTATTTATTTTGGGGACAGAGAGAGACAGAGCATGAACGGGGGAGGGGCAGAGAGAGAGGGAGACACAGAATCGGAAACAGGCTCCAGGCTCTGAGCCATCAGCCCAGAGCCCGACGCGGGGCTCGAACTCATGGACCGCGAGATCGTGACCTGGCTGAAGTCGGACGCTCAACCGACTGCGCCACCCAGGCGCCCCAAGAAGTGAATTTTAAAGACACAGGTTGAAGTGACAACATCAACAAAAGGTTGATATGCCATATAAACAGTAAGCTAAAGAAAGAGGGAGTGGCTATATTAATATCAGATAAAGTAGACTTTTGGAAAAAAAATGTTTATTTTTGAGAAGGGGGGCGAGGGGCAGAGAGAGGGAGACACAGAATCCAAAGCAGGCTCCAGGCTCTGAGCTGTCAGCACAGTGCCTGATGTGGGGCTCAGACCTACGAACCATGAGGTCATGACCTGAGCTGGTCAGACACTTAACTGATTGAGCCACCCAGGTGCCCCAGACAAAGTAGACTTTAAGACGAGGACTATTATCCAAGAGGAAGAGAAATAGGGTCAATTAGCCAAGAAAACATAAAAATCATAAACATGTATGTCTCTAATAACAACACAAAATACATAAAACAAAAATCATCAGAACTAAAGGAAGTAGTAGATAAACCTTCAATCAGAGTTGAAGATTTAAAAATTCCCCCTCGGTAATTTGTAGAACAAAGAGATTTTTAAAAATCAGTAAGGATATAGAAGATCTGAGTATTAGATCAAGATCAGCCCCCTTGAACTAATCGATATTTATAGAGCACTACAACCAACCACTGTAGGATACACATTCTTTTCAAATGTACATGGAACACTCACCAAAATGAATTATATCCTGGACCATAAAATAAGTCTCAAACAACTTCAAAAGATTTAAATCTTACAGAGTATGTTCTCTGACCCTGATGGAATTAAATCAGAATTCAATAAGAATGAGAGAACTAAGTCAACACCCTTCTACATAAGGGTGGCTCTACATGAGCCAAAGAAATAATCACTCAGGGAATTTTGAACTGAATGGTATTAAAAATGCAACATATTAAAATTTGTGGGATGCAGCTAGAACACCGTTGAGAGGAAAATTTATCATCCTAAATGCTTACATTAGAAAAGAAGAAAGGCCAAAAATCAATCATCTAAGATTCTACCTTAAAGAGTCTTAATATAAAAAAAAAAAAGAGTAAAACACTCAATATAAGTCAGAGTAAGAGAATAAAAAAGGTAAGAGGAGAAATCAATGAAATAGAAAACAAATAATAGAGAAAAATAGAGAAAGTGATTCTTAGAAAAGATTAATAAAATTGGAAAATCCCAGCAAGAGTGATAGAGAAAAAGAGAAAGCAGAAATTGCCAATATTGAAAGTAAAAGAGAAAGGGAAGGAGGTAGAGGAAGGGAGGGAAGAAATGAAGGAGGGAAGGGAGAAAGGGAGGAAAGAAGAGAGGAAGGAAGGGAGGAAGGAAGAAAAGAAGGAAGGGAAGGAGGAAGGAAAGGGCATATGGAGGGTCGCAGTTCTCAGAACTGGAAGGGGTCTTAGGACGGGGCAAGGGTAGTTAGTAGCAGCAGTGACCATGGGGTTGGGAACAGACTTGAAGGGTGAGGTGAGCGGAGAGGACCATGGAGGAGACTCCAGAGGAAATATCACGTTGAACACACTGAAGTCTGAGGTGTGAGCATCTGTACACCTCACAGGCCCCGTATAGCACATCACATAAAAAAAAAACAAAAACGACTGGAGTTTGTTATGATGTCCCAAAGCCTCCAAGAAAATACTAGATTCCAATAAAATGAGACTGAGAAAGGAAAATATGTAGTATCGTCTAAAATGTCTTCCATCGAAAATACTTAGAATCCAGCACTTAAGCAAAAGTTCCCGAGGTGCATTCCTCTGGATATAGTTCTAAGAGCTGTTCTGCCGAGAAGGGTCTGAGGAAGTTTGGGCAACACTAACTGCACCGGCTACCCTCCTCCTAGAGATTCATGATGGGCACCAGTGAGTCAGTGACTCCAGGTGGCCTAAGTGTGTGAAGGTCAGTCTGACTCTCTTCAACCTCACATTTCTCATTTTTATGGGACCACAAAACTCTTGCTTTCATGGAACACCTATTGTCATTCCAAGGAACCAGCATTCTGGACAAGGAATTAACGCATAGCTAACAACGGTCATTGCTGTGATTTGTTAGTATCAGGCCATACCTCAAAATTTAAAGATAAGGGAGAGCTTGGTTTTTTGTAAAACGTTTCTTCAAAGGAGCCTGAAACACACTGGGCTCAGGGATTTTTCTGGTGGATTCAGACTAACAAATAGAAGTCTAATTACTTCCTGTGGTTCTTTTTTCTCTATAAATGTAACAGCATTTCTTTGTAGCATTCTGGTAGAAATTTAAAAATTCTGGAAAAGCAGGGCGCCTAGGTGGCTCAGTCGGTTGAGCCTCTGACTCTTGATTTCAGCTCAGGTCATGATCCCAGGGTCGTGGGCTCAAGCCCCATGTCGGGCTCTGTGCTGAGCATGGAGGCTGCATGAGATTCTCTCTCTCCCTCTCTCTCAAAAAAAAAAAAATTCTGGAAAATGATTACAAGAGAACAATAAAGTACTGGGATTTCATCTCCATGTCTGTTACATCTCATACAAGAAGAAAGAATGGCTTGAGTTGCTTACCTTTGTGATTTTGGCATATTGGTGAATACTATACCACACTACCGCTCCAACACTGTCACTAGATATGAAAAGAAAGCAGCTGGAGGACCTCTGTGTTCTATGCAATCTTTCTGTAACCTAGGGCTGCAGATCACAAATTGATACTTAGATAGAATAGATCGCCTCAACCTTTACTTGGGGCCCATGAGAGGAAGCGAGTTTAAATGGCGGTCCTTTGAGTTAAGACCTAAGAAAGACTTGGTGAATGGGTTTATTATTTATTATAATGATGTTTGCTATTGCGATGTATTCCCTTACTATAGAACAGTGTGCTGGTCTCTGGGCATTGGTGTTTAAATACCGGCAAGGGTCACAAGTGAGAGGAAGTTTGGTCCTCATTTACCTCATACCAGCAGTTGGTTTGGCACACAGCTGCAGAACTGCTGGGGCTCTTTTTATTTAATTTGGCATCCCTTCCTGAGCAGTATTGAGACTTTCAGTTCAATGACTCCACTGGGCTTTGCCATAATTTCTATGCTGTATCAGTAAAGTCTGCGGAAGAGATGCCTAAGCAAACCTGAAAGCAGGCTAGGAACGCTTCCAGTTCAGATATTTTTGCTTAAGTCAGTGACAGAATTAACCCTAGATATAAATTAAGCTTGTTTAAAAAATACAACTTTATTCATTAGTTAATTAGTAGAGAAACTGATTTGTAAGGAATATTATTAGTAATGTGTGTGTGTGTGTGTGTGTGAGAGAGAGAGAGAGAGAAAGAGAGACTTTGTCCCTTGCCTGCAATTTCTCTTGGGATAATTTTCCTAGACTCTGAATCACAATGTCAGAAGAAAATACAAGCCCAAATTCTGAGTGAGCCACATATTAATTACATGGCTTGGTCATATACCTTAACCTCTATGCCCTGAAGTTCTTATCTATGAAATGGGAATAGTGATCTCTCCAACATGCCCTGAGTATTATAGGTGGTGACACATAAAAGTTAGGTGGTGACAGCATCAGGCACATAACAGGTACTCCACAGATGCTTGGTGAAATGCATAATTGCAAAAAGAAAACATCAACACCTCCTGTGAACTTTGTTTCCACGGTCAGAAGAGAAACCACTTTCACCTGGTCTGCTTTTCTGTTTCATAGGTCGTGTTGGTCAGAAAAGGGAAAGGAAGGGAACCAAAGGGAATCGATTTTGCTCAGAATCAGAATCCTGGGCTGTCGGAACTAGAAGAAATCTTAGGGATGGTGTGATCAACGCCCTAAATTTACAACTGAACAAACTAAGGCCCAAGGAATGTAAGTCGTTTGCCCCCAAATCACATAGAAGTTAGGGACTGATTCAGGATTGGGGTCCAATATGAATGTGGACTTTTCGTATAAAGGAGATTGTTAATATTATGTGACGTTATGGTGTTTTAAAAAATCTTCCTTTGGCTAACCTGAAAAATAGTTCTCTTTTCATAGTTTTCTTATTTTTTTTTTAAACATTTTACTTTAACCCATCAGGAGTTTTCTTTGATTTAGGATGTAAAGTTAGGAGTTAACTGAATGCTCTCTTTCCAACACATTAATCCAGTGACTTGGCCCCACACATCTAACTGTCCCTCCCTTCCCCACCAACTTACACCTTTCCTACATTCAAACTTATTTTTTTTACAGTAAGGTCAATATCCATGCTCATTTTTTTATTCCATTGATCTGTTAATTTTTCTATCCATAGGATGCTATTATAATTATGTTAATGTTATCATATGTTTTAACAAGTTGTATGAAAAATTTACCTTCATTAATCTTCTTTAGGAGAAAAAAAGTCCTGAAGCTTTTGCCCATTTATTTTTCAAGATGATGAACACTGACAAGTTGAAAAGAATTAATATTCCACACAAACCAAATAAAACCCATAAGTTTTTGGATTGAAATTACATTAGATATAAATATTAATTTGGAAACAACTGGAAGTTTTTATTATAATCATTTTTCCTTTTCAGGAGTATGATATATTTTTATGTATTCAGTTGCTCTTTGATGTGGCTCAGTAAATTCGAGACATAATGTGTAAAGCTTTAAAAGCACTCTATGATGATCCAGGGAAGGGAAAATAAAATTCTACCTGAAGAGATCTGGGGAGATATTTTTATGGTGGAAAAGAGGAGAGCCTTACAAATGTAGCCAAATGAGGTACGTGGTATTTCATTCTTTACATTAACTTGACACAGCCTAACTCAATTACAGAGGTCCTTACCAAGTTGTTATTCAAAGTCATTGACCACATACACACCAACCAACAGCAAATTCATACTGGATTCTTACCAGATCTGCCACCATGTTTGATGTTGGAGATAGGTTCCCCGTTCTCAAAGGAGTTTACAGTCTAACTGAAGTAAGTGTCCATCTTTAAAAGCATCGGCTCTAGAGGGTGGACCTTAACTGTTCTCACAACACATACACTCACACGAAAGGTAATTACGTGAGGTGATAGAGGTGGTAATTGTTTCACAGTATAGTATATATGTGTACAAAATCATGACATTGGACACCCTAGACTTACACAATATTATTTCTCAATTATATCTCAATAAACCTGGCAGGCGGGGGGGTAGGAAAGAACCAGCTCCCCTTTTCTGATCCTTGGGTTAATATAGCCTCTTAACTGAGTAATTTGATCTTTTACTTCTATTCCCATACCAAGGTGGAGAAATTTCTCCGGCAAATTCCTTGGTCATCAAGGGAGCCATTTTTGGCTCGGTGCAGGTCAAAGTCATCATCTTCAAAGCCACCTGCAGGGAGCATAGAATAAGAATTAAGAATGCCAACCTGGAAATCAGGCTGGCGAGTTCGAATTATGGCCCTTTGACTTGTAGCTGTGTGACTTTGGGCAAGTTACTTAGCCACTTTTGCCTCACTTTCCCCAAATATAAAATGCAAGTGGTAAAATAGTACTCAACTTGTAGGGTGACTGTGAAGATTACATGAGACAACTTGTGTCTGTTGTACTTACCACCATGCCCAGCATGGAGAAGCACTCAGAAATGCTGGCTCTTACTTAAAATGTAGTGTCCTGGGCAGGTAATACATTTCAGCTTCACATGCAGCCTATAGCAAAAGCACAGCTAGGTGTCCTGCGAGTGTTCGAGATTAGAAAATGGAGTTGGTGGGAGAATTATCTTTCCTTCTATGGAAGTTTACGTTCCACACTTGAAACTATGGGCAAATGGAATGATAAACACGAGTGTGTGGGGAAATGGTGATATCTTCCCCTGGGATTTCAATGTTTTAGATTAAATGATAACTCCATAACTAAGAGGGTTACAGTTTTGAAAATTCTTGGCTGAAGGAGTCAATCCTCTTTCCCCCTAAATTATGGTTGTATTAAGTGAATCCAGTATTGGGTATCCAGTACATCTTTAAATGGGTTGAGAAGAAGATGTTGGGTGATGGGTAGTGAGGAGGGCACCTTTTGGGATGAGCACTGGGTGTTGTATGGAAACCAATTTTTTTTTTTAATTTTTTTTCAACGTTTATTTATTTTTGGGACAGAGAGAGACAGAGCGTGAACGGGGGAGGCGCAGAGAGAGAGGGAGACACAGAATCGGAAACAGGCTCCAGGCTCCGAGCCATCAGCCCAGAGCCCGACGCGGGGCTCGAACTCACGGACCGCGAGATGGTGACCTGGCTGAAGTCGGACACTTAACCGACTGCGCCACCCAGGCGCCCCAGTATGGAAACCAATTTGACAATAAATTTCATATATTGAAAAAAAAAAAAAAAAGAGAAGAAGATGTTGGGATGGTATTTTCTCTGTGGTCAGCTCCCTCTCTTGGGTCCCTGCCTGTTTTCACTTTACAACGCTTCCTGGTAACTTCCTACAAGGATCAACTCCTTTGCAGTTAGAAATGGAAAACGGCATTTTGAGACTCAGAAGAGAATTTTCTTAGGAACATATTAAACAAAGTGGGGTGAGGTCCCCAGGCAAGCTCATGGGAGATATTAGTGCAAATGAACCTAACCACCAGCTATATCTGGGCCCCTCAGCAGCCAGGCACGGGGAAAGGGGAATTCCCTTGCTCCAAGTGGCCCCAGTGGCTTGAGAACCATGGGGAGATAGGGAAGCAGGGTTATCCCACGGGGAAATCCCTGAGGATACTTTGTATTACAGACCGGTTCCTGCCCACCTGTCTTCTCGGCTTTCTCTTTCTCCTCTTGATGCATACTGTTTCTTCCAGCCAGGGTTTCTCTCCTGCTGTGGGTACTACAGTTACTTACATAGAAAGAAAGAGCAGTGACAGGGAGATGTGTTCCCCCCACTTCTCTCCCCAGCTCTGAGTGTTAAGCTAAAAAATATGAGTACATGATCAATGCGGTCAGCTCCAGGCATAAACTGCTTTAAAAGACCCAAGCCCCCGACAGGAATGTAGCGTAACTAGTGTTATCAGAGAAGCGAGATATCACCTGAAGGCGAGTGGCCTGTTACAGTAGGAAATTAGTAAAAAGGAAGGCAGTGGTTAAGAACAGAGGCTCTAATATCAGATAGGCCTGGGTTTGAAGCCGGGCCGTACCACTTACTAATTGCATGACTGGAGCAAGTAACTTAATTTCTCTAAGCCTCAGCTTCTTTATCAGTAAGATGGGAGAAATAGCACTCCCTCCACTGGGATCCATGGGGCATGGATATCAGAAGCTGAGCACAATGCAGTGTAATTCGTCCAGTCCAAGCAGATAGTAGCTATTTATTATAAAAAGTTGAATCAGAGAGTCAGAATTTCTTAGCGTCCATAAAGCACTCTCCACAGGGATTGATTCATATTCCTTTGGCAGGAGCAGCTTCACAGATGGATGCATCAGACTATAAATGTGTGATGCTGCTCACCGGGAAGATCGTCCAACTAATTACCCTCAGTCAGTTCCCCTGTCCGCTAAGCAGCCTTCTCACTGCGCCTTCCGTATAGCTTTCTAAGAAGGATACAATGTGCTCACCAGATCGGGTTGACCTGAACACCCAGGCTCGTCCAACCATTATAGCTCTCCTTAGAATAAATCAGGTGGCACTCCAGTTTATACGTCGATCTCTTATGAGTTCAGCTGTACTCAAGAGGCTGGTCCAACTCTGACCAAATGGAATCTCTAATCCTGTCAAGCTGAGGGTCGGGTCACACCCTGGGTTGCCCCGAATTAATAGTCTTCCAGGGCTCTTGAAGCTGCGAATTGCTGACCTGCCATACAGGTATAGCCAGCCTCGAGACTAGTTTCTTTGAACTACACAGGAAACACGCGTTTCCAGCTTCTCTCGAAGACCCAGCCACAGGGCTAGGGCTGAGGTGGCTGCCTCCTCCAGGGAGGGCCGGTCTCTGCAGCTCAGCACTCCAGTAATGAAGACAGCTCTACACCCAGTCTGTTTTCACCAGCCCTGTCCCAGCAGACTTACTTTTGTGACTCCTGTTGTAGCTAAGAACACTTTAGACATTTTCTTAAGGTTTTTACTTCTTGGAAAAGAGAGAAAAAGGAAGAAGAAAGCCTACCCCATGAACACTCCTTTTGATAAGTTTGGAAACACACCTGTATTTTAGAAAACACTCAGATGAAGATAGTCCCCTGGGACATTTCGTTGCACGAGCAGCTGGGACCACAGAGAGTTGGTAAGTGGGTGAGATTGGGGAGGCCTCACACTGTCCTGTGCTGAGGCTGGTAATTGGCAATGAGGAAGGGAGGGGGTGCAGCCAAAGGGGTACAGGGTGGAGTGGAGGGGCGGGCAGACAGGGTATATGAGAAGTCAGTGACCCCCTGTGCTCCAACTGGCTCTCTTGCCTCCAGAAATCTGGCCCCAGATCCTGCTTTGGACTAACACTAGGGAGGAAGATGTGAGACGTGGGAATTAGGGATGGGTTTCCAGTAGAGTCCTAGGAAGTAGTGGGGAAGTACTCAGCATCTGGACAGAAAGCCCAGCCATCCAGCTAGATTGGCAGCTCTGAGTGGCCACTCGTATGACAGGGATAGAGTTGTATGTAAATGGTCAGGGGGAAGGCTGTCTGTGGAAATCTAAATAGGCCATTTCATGAACACTGAACAAGTTCAAGAGACAATGCTAGATAATGCTATTCAAGAAATCTTTATAGCCAAAGGAGAGGAAGTTTAATAACCAATGAGGACATCAAGGGAGAGAGATTGTTCAGGAGAATTCTAAAGCTGCCATTCAGTTAGAGAATCTGGAGAAGTGATCTAATTTCAGAAACTGCCTTCAGCCCTTTTTTTTATGATCTAGGCTGAGATCACACAATTAGATTTCAGTAGCCCTTTCAAGGCCAACCATCAATTGGCCGTACCTGTCCAACCACATCTTTTGGTTTTCCCTTTGTAAAAATTCGAGATGGTTAGGCGAAGCTCCAGGCTACCCTCTGTTACTCATTCTTCTCCACCTCTGCCTTTGCTTGTGTGGCTTCCAGCGCTGCAAATGCATGGCCCTCTTCTCTCAGCCATGCCCACCAGCTCCTCCAGGGCGTGTTTTGACGCAGGCCTCCCCCCAGCCGTTACACCCATCACTACGTTGTCTCCCCTGAGAGACTGGCAGTTCTCCAAGGCACCCGTGTAGCATTCATTGATCTGGGAGACACAGAATCAGCACCGTGGTCCCAGCGACGACTCAGAACAGCCAATTTGTCTTCTCAGGATACAGATGGGGAATCTCAGTCCTTAGAGACTAAGTGTTGTTCCCTTGATAGCATGGAGCTTATAGCAGCGGCATGGGACCAGTTAGCACCCATGTCTTCTGAGTCTCCTCTTGGTCTCTGGTTCTTTCCACCGAAGAGCTCATGGCTGCTTCCAGACCTCACAGTTGCCAACCATAAACAGATTTATTCAGGCTTCATTGCAAATAGAGATGGAAATCAAAAGACTATACAAATTGGGTATTTTGGTGGCATACTGTCCCACCTTTACAGGCTAATGAGAAGGATTTCCTCCAAATAAATATCTTCTGGGCTTCCATTACACATTCTGCTTCAGAGGTGATGCTTCTAAAGAAAGTATAGGGTGAGTTACTCTCATCTATGGGTACTTACTTCTGTTCTACCAATGAGGTTTTAAAAGGCTAAGAATGTATACTTGAATTCAAGTACAGTTTAAGGTACAATGGGTTAGAATATTGGAGAACACAGCAATTGTATTTATTCATTCCAAGTATCTCTCAGTGGATAATTAACCTGGGCCATGATAAAAACAATTCTATTAGGCCCATTTCTCTTGTGGCTAATGCTACTGTGCTACTTGCTATAGTATTTTTCTTCTGCTTCATCCTAAGCAGAATGCTCACTATAATAATGCAAGTATTACCTCTTGTGTAGCGGTTCCATTTTCCTGCTTGCAATGGAAAAGCCACAGTAGTTAGATGAGAGAAGGAAGTTTTATATTTTCACTCATGAAGATGCAATTTTTATGAAATCTGCAGATCTATCCACTTTTTGGTAGGTTTCCTATACCATTAACTAAAGAAGTAGGTCTTTTATCCATAAAGAACACAGAGTTTTTAGGATACTTCTTTGTTCTGATACATAATTTGCCCCATACTGGATGTTTGTATAAAAGAAAAGGAAATCTATCATAGGGAGTTCTAATTTGGGGGGATCATGGACCCCTTTGGTCCTATAGACCCCTATGCAGAATAATGTTTAAAAATGTTTTTAATATTTATTTTTGAGATACAGAGAGAAAGAGCACAAGCAGGGGAGGGGCAGAGAGAAAGGGAGACACAGAACTCAAGGCAGGCTCCAGGCTCTGAGCTTTCAGCACAGAGCGTGATGTGGGACCCAAACCCACGAACCGCAAGATCATGACCTGAGCCGAAGTCAGACACTTAACCGACTGAGCCACCCAGGTGCAGAATAATGTTTTTCAAATGCATAAAATAATATATACTGGAAACCAAATGTACTGAACTACAGTTCTATCCATGGACCCCTGGTACCTTAAACCTATCCTAGAGCTGACTCAGGGTCTACCATCTACATAATGTTTGGCTCTTCAAAGTGGAATTATGAGGTTAGAAACACAGCCTCCTAGTTACCAAAACTCAAGTCCAAAGCCCAAGTCACAAAGTGCAAAGGCAGTGGGTCACGTCAGGGAGCAAGGCTAGCTGGTTAGCAGGTGGCTGCTGACCTGGGATGATTCCAGAGCAGTGAGAAGCTCTCTTCCTGCATCCCCAAATCCCCCTTCTCCCTGTCCACTCATGCTTGAAATCCCTTAATAGAGTCTCACTCCTTTGGTTCAATTAAATAGAGGATTTACTCTTGTTAAAAAACAAAAACCCATGGGAGAGGTAATAGTCCATGCCAAAGATTTTCAAATTTATTTTCAGGAGTAGAACCTATTTTTCAAATGCAACTTTAAATAGAATTCTGATAGGTAAGTAAACGCGAGTTTTATAAGAGTTTAGTATAATTCTATATGTTGAATTATATATAAACATGTATATGTATATATCTATGTATATGTAAATCAACACTGGAAACAATGAGGTTGTCTCGATGAAGGCAAATTATGAAATCAAGAGTTACAGATAATAACTACCATCTTACATCCATCTCAGCATACAATTTATTTCTGTATTTTTTTTCTTGCATGGACAAGACAGAGAAAATTCTGATGCAAATAGATAAGGAATTTCAAATAGCTAACAATTTGTTATGGTATTTATAACCTCAGGATCTCCCTCAACTAAAATGGTCCAGAAGCTTTAAAGAACAGTAGGAATTTTTGGTTTCAAAACAGAATCTCAACAGTATCTAACACATGTTCAAATTCCTTGGTAATTAAGGATCAGTTGGTGAGTACTTAATTTAGGGAGTATGTCCAGTAGATTTCATCAGTAAGTTGAATCCTAACTCCCCTACTGATTTCACAACCTTAGGTGAGTAGCTTAATCTTAGTCTCCATCTCATGTGTAAAAAGGTTATAAAAATGGCATCTATTTTATAGGTATAAGGGTTAAATATGATAGTGTTCATAAAGCACTTAGCATAGTGTCTGGCACAGTTCATAAGTGCTTTTATTATTGAATAATAATAATAATAATAATAATAATAATAATGGAAGTACTTTTCAAACATGTCATGTAACATTTTAAGATGTTCCATCACATCCCATTTAAATTTCTTTTTAGGGGCGCCTGGGTGGCTCAGTCAGTTAAGCCTCTATCTCTTGGTTTCAGCTCAGGTCAAGATCCTCACAGTTTTGTGAGTTTGAGCCCTGAATTGGGTTCTGTGCTGTTAGTGTGGAACCTGTTTGGGATTCTGTCTCTCCCTCTCTCTCTACCCCTACTCCACTCTCTCTCTCTCTCTCTCTCTCTCTCTGTCTCTCAAAATAAATAAATAAGCTTACAAAAATTTTTTTTAAATTTCTTTTTGGATATCTCTGCACCCTCTTGTTTTGGATATTCACTCAGTTTCAAAACAATCTACTTTTGTTTTGTGGGTTGAGGCAAATTTTAAGATGATGCTTTACTGCTGACCTTTTATCTACAGCTGTAAGTGAAGCAACAGGCCGACCCTGCACTGCCAGATGGAACGTGTGCAGCACATTTCCAACCAGGTGAGAACCAACCCAAACTTAAAATGAGCAATGAGATGATCTATAATGCTATATAATCGCATCGCAATGTGTATTATTGTAATTTTACCATGTACCATTGGCTCTTGTGCTGCCAAATGTGAGCTCCAGAGAACTTGCCTGGCTTTTAAGGCGTGATAGCTCACGTGTGTCGTGATACCAATACCAGTCGAACGCTAGTAGGGGCTAGGCACCGCTTTAAGACCTTGACCTGTATTTGGCCTTCACTTATTTATCTGTATGATTATTATAGGAGTGGATATGAGCAGACCTAAATTTCAAAACGTGACCAGTACAAAGATTCACCCTAGCTAGTGAAAGACATCTTTATAAGAAATTCAAACGTGCATGTGCGTGCACGCGCGTGCGCTCAGAGTTAACCCGCCAGTGCAAACTAACCCATTGCTGGTATCTTAGTATGTGCTAAAATTTGGTACCTAACTTAAGTATGTCTGTGTTGTTCTTTGCTGCACTTTAAAATCGTTCAAATATTTATCAAAAAAATTAAGTGTGAATTGAATGTTTGCAGCTTCCCCGAAACTCACTGGGGTTCTCTGTAACAGTTTGAAAACGAGAGCATTAAACCTTTTTACTCATTTATACTTAAGTGTGAGAGGAGCCAAATCAGATCCTTTTGTGGAAGCATAGGTATGAAGAAGGGGAAGAAAGTATGAGATTTCTAAGGTTAGTTCATTTTCTACATAGGCAAGACCCTTATTAGGCACCTCTTATGTGCCAGCAATGTTATAGTATCTATAATTCCCAGAACACCGTTGCCTAATGGGCACCATTATCCTGACCCTGCGGAAGAAACTGACAACCCGAGATGTGCATTTGCTCACCTGGGTTGCATAACTAGAAAATGGCAGATAGGACCCAAACCGATCCACTGGATTCCAAACCCTTCCCACCACACCAGACGGCCTCCAACCCAAGCTCCCCATTTTATAACCCAGGAAAATGAGAATGAACAAGGTAGAGTAACTTGCTCCTGGAAACAGCTAGTTGGTGGCGAGGCTGTTGTAGGAATCCAGGAGCAAGGGTATTTCACTAGGAAAACTCTATCGGACAGCCCGGTGGGAAGATGCCCCGTGCAACCAGGGTAACCGGGGCCAGCAAAATCGCTTCTTCACTTCTAGACTTGGCATCAGTCACTTAGTTTCAAGCAGAGACTAGATGAAGGAGGAGACAGACCAGTTCTCTCCTGAGCACCTAATACGAGCAAAGCACGGGTCGGGGCAGTGGAAGATCTGAAAAACAGGCAAATGGATCAGACCACAAGGTCCCTGCCCTGGTATCAGTGTGGGGGAAAAGGCATCATCCTAGGAAATATTAAATAGAATCTTTGGAAGCTATCTCAGTAATATTTTGTTTCTCTCCCTCAACCCCTACGTGAATGTAAGTTTTAAACGTCAGTATAAAACATGGCATAATACAATATCACAATTGTCTCTAGTCCTAACATTTTCAGAGCACTTACTTGTACCAGGACCTTTGCTAAGTGCTTTGAATTCTCTCACTTAAATCTCAATGCAATCCTATGGGATACTCTTATTATGGACATTTTACTTATGAAATAACGCAGGCTGTTTCTGGGAGATTCCCCATCTAGCAAGATTCACACCAGGCAGTCGGACCCAGAATTGCTATGCTCAGAGCCAGCAGGTGCTTGGAGTTCAGCATAGGGTTGGTCTGGAAATGCATGCAGGATCTCAGCACAGAAACTCAGGAAACACGCAAGAAACCCTCAAGAAGTTGGAGAACTCACTACCGCTGGATTTTTGATGAATGATATCCGATGCAAGCATAGCCTCTGATGGCTTCTTCCCACCCCAGAGCCGTCGTGGGCTTTTGTGAGAGCCAGAAAGCAGCCGATGATAACTCTGTCATCACTTCCTTCAGCTTTTCCAGTACTCCAAACCCAGGCAGAACTAAAATTCTAGACGGCAGCCACATACGAAGGCGATGCATGACCCTTCCACCCACCACCGCCACCGCCATATTGGTGGGATATATTTTAGGAAATCAGGAGGAAGGAACATGAGAAGTCATTGTTTTCTTGAGAACTCTAAGCAACCTGATGAGAAAGCGCTCTCTAACGATAGAGGTGGGGATGCTGTGCATGCCATCACAGTCCTTGGGTAATGACTGTGTGTCATAAATGGGATATGGCATTTCTGAATGTCTTTAAAGCTATTTCCTTTTGTTCCACTAATTTAATTTACCAAATGCTCCTGGGAAAAGGGAGGGGGACCAAGATGCTGACTCCACATTTCCTGAAAAATCAACATTTTCTTTTTAAGCCGCTCTCAAGGAAATTACGTCTGATTGTTGTCGGCTGGCTCCCTCAAACTCTACCTCTGTCAGAATTCTGACCCGGCAGGTGTGAGGAAGAAATAGATGCAGAACTTGAGTGAATACCCACATCTGTTTTTGGAAAAAAGGAACAGAAGCAGCACAGAAGGAAGTAAAAGAGATAATTGCTGGCTTCAACTACAATACATTTTACTTGTGGGCAGAGGGCCAGCTTACAGCAGGCTGAATATGCAGGCCCATCTTATTGGAATTCAGCGGTGGGCCTCCATTCTTGTCCGGAGACAGCTGTAAACCAGCAGCCCATAGCATCACAATCAGGCACCGAGTTTTGTCAAGGAATGCTGATATGTACGGAAGCAGCTTTGTCTGCTTCAACTGCACCCCTGCCTAGTGAAATGACAGTCAATCTCTGATTCCAGATGACAAGAACTGGATAAAAACTTAAAACAAATGGCGACCTTTCAAAAGATTAATTTGTTTACCAACAAAATGTCCCCTCTTTGTCATCTGAGATGGGGGTGACCTTCACTTTCCCGTATCTAGGCTGAAAGGATGCTGACTATAGTCATCTGTTAACTCCATCTCAGCAATTATTCCCTTTTTTATTTTTAGTGACAAGAAGGGTTTATTAATTCACTCTGCTTCTTGTTATGGTTTATAAATGCAACAAGCTCATTCTGAATTACTGCAGTGTAACATCAATTTGTTTAAATCTAATTCTGCTACCATTGCCAAATTACGTTGTGACTGTAATTGTGGCCATATGCATGGGCTTAAAACACAATCATGTTTTGAAATCGGCCTTCTTCCCCCCACCTCCCCGAGCACCCCTCCCCCCTACTTCTGGTGCTTCTAATCATTTGACATTAACACAATTGCCTCGTTTTCCATTACTTTATCATTTCCGAAATGAATGTACTTTCACGAGAGAGATTACTATGTACACCCCAAGTAAAACAGTAAAGAATGAAACTATGATTTGTGAAGTGTGGTTGCTACCCAACTAAGTTAGTGAACAACACTGCATAACGGATGACTCATAAAATCGGGAAATCATAATAGTATTAAATTCAACCTCATGAATAAATAAAAGATTCTAAGTTTACATTGCATTATATATTTATTTATTTGGAAAGTGGGACCAGAACTGGTATAATTCTACAGCAACTTATATGTTGCCACCAAGAAAAATGTTTTTATGCTTCTTTTCTAGGTCATAACAGTTATCATCAGAGTTATTTGTGCAGCAGTACAAAGCAATGTTTTGTTTGGCTATTTTGTTATGCATTCATAATCGTTCTTTTAAAATTCATGCTAACAGAGACATGTTTCAAGCCTTGTAAGAAACCCCTTTTATTTAAAACAAATAAATCAAAGTCAAATTTTCTGTAGGCCTTTGAATGTGTTGCCTTAGAAAGTCTAAGTGGGACTAGATGTCAGTGAGGAATTATGAAGATCAGAGATTTCTTCTTGTCTCCCCATACCTGTGAGGCTTCACTCTAAAACGTGTTAGAGGGTTGTTGTCGTTGCTTAATTTGGCAGATTTAAGATATGGAAAAAATCACTAGTGAGTTTCACTTTCAGTACTTTTTTGTAAATTGATTTTACATAGAGTTACAGGATATAAAAATCTGAAGGAAGTGTGTGTGTGTGCGCGCGCGCGCGTGTGCCTGTCTGTCTGTCTGTCTGTCTGGGGTATATGTGTTTTCAATGCACTAAAATCTTTGCATCAGCCCCTTATGATCAGGAAGGATATACCTCTTCATAAAATGGAGAAACTATCAGCTTCTAGGAACTAATCATGTAAATCAGCTGCATATTCAAATTTGCTCTGTCCAAAATGTCTAAGATTATTTACAAGCTTTTGACAAGCTGTTCAAGTTTCATAGGAAGTAAGGGAACACATGGCCCTCGGCAGCCAAATCATAATCCCCTTTGTGTTTAGAGTAGTTCTAAAAAAGGATTAGCCTTGATGCTGCTTTTCTAATTAACTATACATCACAACACTAGACACATTGCTTCAGTTTGGGTAAGTGCTTTCAAACACATTTTTATAAGTGGTAAATCACAACTGTATTTGTTCCCAAATGCTCTACATGACTATTTAAAACCAATACCCGAATATTTCTTTAACAGGACTTTTGGCACAGTGTTTCTGTTTTATAAATCCAAACTGAAAGTACCATTTTTCAGTTGGTACCACTGTATATACATACATCAACGTAAACTGATAGGATTAACTCTTTGGATTGAAATGCCGATAGCGTGAGCAAGATGTGTATAATGTACATACATTTAGAGCACGCTGGCATAGATTTTCTTGGAGTTAAGTTTAATGGGAAAAAAGGATCATCAGTATAATAAATGAGTGTATATTATCTATGTGTCGTGTGAGGCAAAGTACTTTCCCAAACCCTGTGTGTTCAAAGTACTTGGACACAATCCCCAAAGCACTCATCCTATTGGGAATTAGAAAAAAGAATATAACAGATGACTAAGGTTCTGCCCCCAATTTTGGGTAGAGTTCTGAATTCCTATTAATTTCTGAATCTTCACTCACATTCATGAAAGTAAAGCATAGTCCTCTGTAAATCTAGAGGTATGCCTTTTTAAACTTTGATGTCAGAAAAAGTTTGCTTGAAACGCGGTGGTTGCCTTGGGCTACAAAGCCTCAGCACTCCACCAGCGAAGCCAATATTAATTCTAGATGGAAGGGGAAAACCAACAGCAACAAAAGAGAAATCTGCCTCTGTCTGTGCAGCCAGAGAAATAATATTTTTATTTCAAGGGCTTTGGGCTCATGGGAGGCAGATAAAAACCTTTTCACATTATTCACAGTGACATTTTAAATAAAGTTTCAGCAGGAATAAAAATATCAAACTTTCCGGTTATTTCTTAGGCTATAGAAGTATTTCTATGATAAAGTGCTCTCAGGCCAAAGCTGATAAAATAACATAAGGCACATATAAAGAAACTAAAAATACAGTTCAGGGTTACATGAATGAAGCAGGCAGATGAAAATGTCTGCGTAGGAAATTCAGAAGATTAATCTAAGAGACTCTTCTGGTTAGAAATGGTTTTGCAATTGAATTCTAAAATTAATCTTGGTTGTAGTCTTGATTTCACCAAAGCATGCATTTAAGAGCTTTCGAGGTTAAAAGTGTATTTAAAAATTTGTAGATGTCATCTCAGTAACTGTTTTTCAGGTTTAGAAATAATCTCAAATCAAATGATTTCTCAATGAAAATGAAGCCTTTCTTTGAAATCTCCTAAGAAAACCCCACAACACAGAAAGTACAGTCCTGGCTTTGGGACACCTAGCAGCCAAATAGAGGCACAGACTCTGGGATCATTTAATGCCAATCTGCATTTGATTATTCTTCCCTCTCTTCCTTTTGCTGACATAAAGAATTAATTCATGCTTGCTTCAGATTTAGAATAATATTCTTAAATTTTGTGTACTATATGATCATATGCCATGGAAGCCAATGATACGCTGCTGTTTCCTTTTGCTTTTTCTAGTGGTGAGCCTGCTATCAAAGAAATAAAATATTTAAAATTCCTCTATTCATTTTCTTTGTTGTTAAATTATCTCATCCTTGTTAAAATTACGATGCCAGATTATTTAGGAACGGCAGGTAAAACAGACAAAACTGAATGGGCTACAAAGAAATCCTCTAAAAGTAGGTTTACACATTTTTCATCATTTGTAATTATAAACCAAATGAAAGCCACTCCACCTCATCTCCCCCAAATTCTAAGAACAAAAGGATCAAAATCTTTACTTAAAATCGACATTGTATCTTACAAAATATATGACTTTTGATTCTTGAAGAAATTAAGAGCTCATGAAAACAACTCGTTACTTACACATGCTTTTCTCTGATTAATGTATGGCAAACTGATTCCATAGGTCGAATTTATAGCACCTCTGTGGTGGATGTTTTCAGGATCGTGCATGATTTTTACATTCAACCCTATCTTTCGCTGGAACAAAGAAACAATGAAACTTTCATGCTGAATGAACAAAAATGCTTACTAACATTTTATATCCTCAAAGGAGTATGAAGTTCTTTGAAAATAATTATTTTAATGTAATTCTTATTGCAAAAAAATATATATATATATACATATACATATATATTTGGGTTTCTTATTTAGGCGAATTGGTCTCTTTTATTTACAGAAAAGGAACTTTCTGCAGATTTTCCTCCACGTATCCTATCGCTCATACAGACACAACCTTGGACGCCATTCATTTCCTCAAAAATGATGTTGGAAGCCAACCAAGGTGGGCAAAAGACCGGGATACCTGGTCTCGGTTTATTTTTAGCTTTCCAGGTCAAGGATTTTTGCCAATGAAATCTATACTACAAATACACAGGTAGAGGGCTCCCTTGGTCTGTTAATGTGGCCACTTTCCTCAAGGGACATTTACAGGTAAATCTCAGTGGGGACTTGGTGAATTTACCGCAACAAATTTAGTGATTCCACAGAGGTTTTGCTATGGGATACACGTGTGCTTTCGTTAGGAAAAAAAAGGCATCTTGTTTGAACCACGTGTTCCTCATTTTAAATAATTCAAATTAGCTACGGCTGCGATGCCTAACTATAAACCACCAGAGAAGACAGCATCGTGGTGGTGGAAAGGGGCATGGGGTAGGTGTGCAGAGGCCTAAGTTCCAATTTTGCTCCCTCCCGCCCCCGACTGCCTGCATGTAACCTTGGGTAAGTTACTTTCCTTCTTTGAAAATCGGTTTCTTTATTTGCCAAACGCAGCAGTTAGACTTGAAGGTCTCTTGGAGAACTATTCACCTCACCCCCACCCTCCAACCTCCACCCCTACCCCTCCTGCCCCCCCCCCCCCCCCCCGCAACCTCCCCAGCTTTGGCTTTCTATGATTTGATGCTAAAAGGTAAGTTGACACTTAAGGAATATGACATTACTGACAGTTTCTGAAGTCTTGTGACATTTTATTGTGATATGTAATTCACATACTATAAAATTCACACCTTTAAAAGTATATATACTCTTCAGTGATTTTTCAGCATAGTCACAAAGCTGTGCAGCCATCACCCCTAATTTCAGAACATTTCCATCACCCCAAAAGAAACCTCCTACCCATTAACAGTCACTCCCCATTCCCTCCACCTCCTTCCAGCCCCTGGCAACTACTAGTCTACTTTCTGTCTCTTAGACATTCTGGGCATTTCATGTAAATGGAATCCTAAAAGATGGGTCCCTTGTGACTTTTTCAAAAGGAAGTGTTGTGAGCAATTAAAAATTTTTTTCCTTTCAATTGAGTGTCTTAGTTCTGGGGGTGATCTGATGCAATTGTTAAAATGGTTGTAGAAACCAGGAAGATTAATTAGTTCATGACCCGGCTGTTTGGTCATCAACATTCATAAGTGGGCTGTGCCTGAGGTCAAGGTGAAGGAGAACATTACAGAAATATCTATGGAATGCGTGCTGTCCTGATAAGTTATTTCTTAGCACAGGCTCCAAACCTTCCTTTTATTTGTTTAAATAGCAGTTTTTAAACCAAATCGTTAAATAACTGTGCTCAGCTGTCCACTTCATTTAACCCATGCAGGGATACAGGTTGCATGTAAGGCATTTCTGTTTCCTCCTCCTTGAAGTACATGTGGTTGTGAAAACAATGTTGTGCCTAATTATAAATGGCTTTCCTTCTGTGGGTAACCCACACTCCCAGCACTACTCCGGGGCTTTTGCGTGGAAGCTGAATGCCTCTTTTACTGAAATTAATACCTGAACATAATTTTTTCCTTCTTAATTAAAATTTCAGAATAATTTCCCATCCAGCAAGGATTGGGAAATTGCTAATATGTATTATTATATTGACTGGATGTAGTTTCTGTAATTAGGGTGTTTTTAAAATGTGAACCCTGGATACAATTGACGGTAATAGCTTCATCTATCATGTCTAAGCTTTGTTAGAACTTTTTAATTCTGGGATCATTGGCTCGGTGGACCGTAGCATTTTCTTAGTTTTCTTATGCTCCATCAACTTTGTGTGGCTGTCGTACTGGTGTAGGGAGGAAATGACCAAATACAGAGCCATTGTTAAAAGTGGCATTAAAATCTGGTGGTTTTCTGCCCATATGTATGTTTCTGTGGCATTAGACATAGCTCCTTATGGAAAGAAATCCAAATGTAAATAGAAATCCAAAAGAAATGACAGGTTGTAATATCAATTATTTATCAGTCGTTTTCTAAAGCTATGGGAGAGGTCCTTTAAAATTATTAATATTCTAATATTTACTCTGTTGGCACCAAAGCATGGGTATGCCAAAATAATATATTATAACACATGATTAAATTTCCCTTTTAAAAACATATTAAAAGAGCCCGCATTTAAATAACATTAACATACCAAATGGTTTCACTGTAAATCACTACAAATACATTCATCACCTAAATTTGTCTCACAAACCACCTATCGAGATATATAGGAAAATACTTATAAGCATTAGCTGCATTATCAGATCTACTAATAAGATTTTTTTTTTTAAGAAAAATAGTTGTCAATTAAAAAAAATTTTTTTTTAACGTTTTTATTTATTTTTTTGGGACAGAGAGAGACAGAGCATGAACGGGGGAGGGGCATAGAGAGAGGGAGACACAGAATCAGAAACAGGGTCCAGGCTCTGAGCCATCAGCCCAGAGCCCGACGCGGGGCTCGAACTCACGGACCGCAAGATCGTGACCTGGCTGAAGTCGGACGCTTAACCGACTGCGCCACCCAGGCGCCCCAATAGTTGTCAATTTAAAAAAGAAAAAATTCATCCTTCCACTATGCTGAAGAGCAAACTCGGGAAGATCCTTTTTCCTGACAGTAAGATAAAATATCAAAAATAATTTCAGAAATTTGTCTTAAATTGATCAAGAAAAGGCAGCAATTTATTTAATCTATCTTGAGTCACTAAACAATCTCAACGTAGAATTCTCTCCTTTTGATAGTAATTACAAGCAGATATATCAAATGTGACTCTCATTTAGACTTTGGTTTGTAAGAACAAAAGTTATTATCAGAGCCAATTACTGTTTTACCTACATGGCTGCACAGAAGCAGGGAGCTCAATTTTCATCTCATCAGTGATTTTGTGGTATTTATTTTATTACTATGCCCACAAAGCTATATAAGAAGGAAATAGCTTATGCTATTAAAACTAGGGTTTAAACATAAGAGGCTAAGGTTTCTTTTCGAAGAAGTTCTGAATTAAAAACACTAGGCAGCGTGTAATACCAGCTCCCCAGACATGGGCAGACCATAAAATGACATACATCCGAGCGGTAGATCCCGCACAGAGTAATCAAAATTGAAATGCTTCACAAACAAAGTTGAGACAGGCTATTTACTAAGTTACAGTATTATCAGCATAACATTATTCTCAACCGTGTTTGCTGCAAGTAATGCCTTCTAAAGTGGATATCGCCTAATATTATATTCCCACTGGTTAAAGACTTCTGCTGTTTAATCTCAAAACCAGAAAAAAGAAAAAAGAATCCAGTCGCCTCTAATACTCTGATTCTTTCAACCATTATTATATTTAATGGAAAGAACAATAGACATCAAATCGTGGTTCAGGCCACGTGCTCAAGATTTCTCATTTGTAAAACTGGGTAATAATACCTACCCTTACAGGGTTGTTTGTGAGGTTGAAATGATTAATGTACGTTAAGTATCTTGAAATGATAAAGCACTACTCGGGAGCCTACTGGCCAAAAAATGACTGCTATGGATCAAAACACTTCAAATATATAAAAACCCATGAGTTCCTTATATACATACACATATATGTGTGTGTGTGTATGTGTGTGTGTGTATATATATATAATTATATATTATAAATATATAAAAAGCCATGAGTTCTTTATGTACATATATATTATATATTACTTTATATAATTTTTTTAAAGTAGACTTCATGCTCAGCATGGAGCCCAACACAGGGCTTGTACTCATAACCCTGAGCTCAGGACCTGAGCTGAGGTAGGGGCACCTGGGTGGCTCAGTTGGGAAGTGGGAAGGCAAGGGACTCTTGGCTTTGGCTCAGGTCATGATCTCACAGTTTCGTGAGTTCAAGCCCCAAGTCAGGCTCTGTGCTGGCAGTACAGAGTTTGCTTGGGATTCTCTCTCTCTCTCTCTCTCTCTCTCTCTCTCTCTCGCTCTTTCTCCTTCCCCCTCTCCCTCCCCCACTCACACTGTCTCTGTCACTCTCAAATAAATAATAAACTTAAAAAAAAAAAAGGAAGAAAAGAAAAGACCTGGGGCGCTGGTTAGCTCAGTCGGTTAAGTATCTGACTTCAGCTCAGGTCTGTGCTGACAGCTCAGAGCCTGGAGCCTGCTTCAGAGTCTGTGTCTCTGCCCCTCCCCCGCTCATGCTCTGTCTCATTGTATTGTGTCTCTATCAAAAATAAACATTAAAACAATTTAAAAAATTTCAAGATAATTGGGGAAAACGGAACAATGACTGGAAATTATATGGTATTAACGCATTGTTAAATTTGTTAGATGTGATAATAGTTGTGGTTTTCCTGGGTTTTTAAAAATTTTTTAATGTTATTTATTTTTGAAGGAGAAAGAGAGACAGAGTGTGAGAGGGGAAGGGGCAGAAGAGAGGGAGACACAGAATCTGAAGCAGGCTCCAGGCTCTGAGCTGTCAGCACAGAGCTCGACACGGGGCTGGAACTCATGAGCTGTGAGATCATGACCTGAGCCGGAGTCGGTCGCTTAACTGAGCCACCCAGGTGCCCCAGTTTTTTTTTTTTTTTTTTTTTTTTAAGTCCTTATCTGACGGGCTTAAGGGTAAGATAATATGATGGCTGGGATTTGCTTTAAAAGACTTCACCGGGGGCCATGGGTGGCTCAGTCAGTTAAGTGTCCGACTCTAGATGTCGGCTCAGGTCATGATCTCACAGTTTGTGGGTTCAAGCCCCACATCGGGTTCTGTGCAGACAATGTG